CAAATTTAAAGAGGTTTATTTACTGTTTTAGGTGCAGGAATCAATATGAATCTTGCTGACAAACATTACTCAGGGCCTTATGTGAATCAAAAGAGTGAGGTGGTACGGGAGACGAGTAGGGTCCATATTATTGTCAAGCCCCTCCCCCACACACACATATTGACCTACTTTTTAAAATCATCTCAAATTGGGAAATAATTGTCTGTGGGCCCACCCTTGACAATAATATGGACCCTACTCGTCTCCCGTACCACCTCACTCTTTTGATTCACATAAGGCCCTGAGTAATGTTTGTCAGCAAGATTCATATTGATTCCTGCACATAAAACAGTAAATAAACCTCTTTAAATTTGTCTGGTATTAAAATGTCACGGGTAGGTTTTGTCTTGTTATATTTCTGGTATTTTCCATGTTGTTTCATTGTTTTCTACACGGTTAAAACTCCTCTAGAAGTGGTTAGTTAAATGGTTTTAAGTAGCAATTTGTACATGACATTTATTTAGCCTTACAAATATACAATGGAACATTTAAAGGAACAAAGTATAATAAGATATCAATGGACTGATAATGTTCGTCTATATGGTAATCTTACAAGTTTACTACCACAGTACTGTTCTGACGTTATTTTTAACCAATCAAAGTGTGTAATATAGTAGCCTTTTCTTGCTAACAATGACGAATTTTTGGATAGCGATACCGAAACACTATCATATTGTTCTACTGTAGTCTAGCTAATCCAACGTTCAACTTCTCCACAAATAAATGTCGACAGGGTGGTTTAACTGATGGAGGTGATGATAGTACATATAAATACACAGATTATAAAGCTTTGTAAAGCGTTGCGTAACCAGCATACAGTTAGAACGACCTGTCCCTCGTTTTAAAATATAACTCTGATGTTCCGTTTATATACAATTAGATACCAACGGACTGCTGTAGTGACAAAAGTCCTATTGTTGTCAGGCATCTGGGTTTTTAATGTCGTTTTCCCAGATTAAAATTTGCCACAAATGATTACTTTAATTCATACAAAACTATTGTATCCAACTAGCTGGCTTTTAACAATAGCATTTTTCTGTAATCAGAATGCTCTTAAAGGTCATCGCAGGAAACAAAACACACAAAAAAAAAACAGTTTAATGACAACATATACTTTTATTATGGACGGAATCATTTTTTTCAAGTTTTTCAAAAGAAAACTTTTGGCATATATACAGCAAAGTTATGAAGTCAAAGTAATGAAAAATAATGTAAGAATGCTCCAAATCACTTACGAGTTGTCGGAGTTGTCATACGATTACAGAAACCATAAGAGAAATATTAAGTAAATTGCAGTAAACACACAATTAGTAATATTTAGATCTTATTATGGATATATTTAAAAATACAATAACAAAATATTTTCACTGCTAAAATAGTACTCAATACATCAATTGTAGAGCGATATAGAAATATTAAAACATAACCGAACTTAAAAAAACATGTTGTTGTAACGCAGAGTTTCAAGCTATTCTAACTTCAGATGTCTTTGTTAGATTCTGTTTTAATATTTCTATAGTTAAAAATATATTGTGTAGGCGAACAGAGGAAAGTTTAGTATCGTGTATAGCAACGGGGATAAATTCAGTATTAGTCATTGATATCTGAACGATCAAAGTTAAAAAAAAATATGTTAAATTTTCTGACCTATCCAAATTCAAAAACTACAAAATGATAAATCAGCCTCTTGACCCTTCGACTACTTTCTGACACGTTTAAAATCAATTTAAAAACCAAAATGTTATATCACAGCATATCAGCCATTAGGTTTTGAGAAAGGATTTCTCTGTATCTGTCCGCAATCCCGGGATTCCTCCACTGTCGTGTTTCGATTCGTCCACACTTTCATCCAGCTGAGAAAATGACTTTTTATTTCTACAACGACAAAAAATAAATCATAAATTTTTAAATAATTCGTCTCTTATTTCAGCCCGTCATTTTGATTTTTGTTAATGGTGAGGACGTTTGGTTTGTTTTGGTTAATTCTAAAGTTCTCTAGAATACCGTGATCTCAGGATATTTTATAGTTAATAAAATCAAATAATTCAACAAAGTCGCAAATAGACGGTGTCCGGTGTCTGGTGATGATTTATCGATACAGAAAATAGAAGAAGTGAACACACGAGGTACAGGTCCGGACACGGTGCGGACAAGATTCATTTCTGGTATTTTCTACTGTATCAATAATCCCACACCGTTCACCGTACCTGGCAAACTGGTTTTCCTGTCAAATAAATTATTATTATTATCACCTCGTCTATTCGCACCTTTACCCGTGCATTTAAAAGGTTTCTGTGATAATTATTTTGAGCATTGACTCGTACTTTTGATAGACTTCGAAAGGAAAGTTGGACAGATTTTTCATAACTAATACCAAAGGAGGCGTCACCTTAAACTTGATTTTTACTTATTTGTTTTAGAAGAATGCTGTAAAAACTAAAATAAGTGAAGTACGCCACAGAAAATATACGAAACATAATTTCTAGAGCTGTATGGCAATTTTAGAAGCTGTTTTTACTTACCCCTTTCTGAATTTTGATGTAAAATTATCAATAGCTAGTTGTAGAGTTTCCCTTTTAAATACTTCCCGATCTTTGGCATAATAGAGGTAAATAAACGCCATGACTAGTATCATTAAAGCCACCGTTCCCCAGAGTTGTAACTGCCCAGTCCTGAAATAAAGTTATCAAAGTGATATAGTCGTCTAGATTTCACTGAACCACATGCTACAGATCTAACGTCGAATCGAATTTTTACAGCCGAGAAAATGAAAAGAAGATAAACAATGACTCCCTCCCCAAATAAACTGAGGCTAGTGGCGGAGCCAAAGGGAGGACAGAGGGGGGCAACCCCGAGTGAAAGTTTTCCGGGCATGACTCTCATAACTAGGTTATAAATTTGGGTAACCTCAGATATTTCTGTTTTATTCTGTTAACCTTTGCTTGACCTCTTTTTTAACCAATGAGGTGGCTGCCCTTTCCAGGATAATGTGACGCGAACAAGGGTTCATTCCGAGGCGTATTCGAAACGAAAGTAATAAAATACGAACGGAAATTAGGTCTTATTATAATATTCTGCTTTATATTATTGCCAAGAATAAAATCAAGAATAAAATCATGAATACAACTGTTGAAATTATTATATCTATACATGTACAGGCTTCTCAAAATAGATTCGTACAAAAATATACCAATGTAAAATACAATACAATAGCTGTTGGTGTTGTAGAAAGAGACAGGTTAACAATGGAACTATAATCAGGCGTGTGGAATTTCTGTAACATATCAAGTTTATTGTGGTTTAACTACCAACTTTCTTACATGATTAATTCTCAATAAATAAAATATTTTCACTTGTAAAATAGTGCTCAATACATCAGTTGTCGAGAGATATAGAAATACCACCGTTAAAATAGTGCTCAATATATCAATTGTAGAGTTATATAGAAATACCACTGTTAAAATAGTACTCAATATATCAATTGTAGAGTTATATAGAAATACCACTGTTAAAATAGTACTCAATATATCAATTGTAGAGTTATATAGAAATACCACTGTTAAAATAGTACTCAATATATCAATTGTAGAGTTATATAGAAATACCACTGTTAAAATAGTACTCAATATATCAATTGTAGAGAGATATAGAAATACCACTGTTAAAATAGTACTCAATATATCAATTGTAGAGTTATATAGAAATACCACTGTTAAAATAGTACTCAATATATCAATTGTAGAGCGATATAGAAATACCACTGCTTAAAATATTGCTCAATACATCAATTGTAATGCGATATAGAAATGCCACTGTTAAAATAGTGCTCAATACATCAATTGTAGAGTGATATAGAAATACCACTGTTAAAATAGTGCTCAATACATCAATTGAAGAGCGATATAGAAATACCACTGTTAAAAATAGTGCTCAATATATCAGTTGTAGAGCGATATAGAGTTCTATATTAAACTACCGCGGTGCATGTCGCCGTGATCTACAGATATATAAATCAGACTAAGCTCAATCCCTTGATACCTATTAAATTATGTGATTTAGATACCACCTATACCACCTTGAACATACTACATGGTAACACCTGTACTGATGGTACTTCTCTTTGGAGAAGTCAACTACTATACTACCGTTACTCCCGATTTTGCCATTCTTTGGACATCATTTTGTTTGACGGAATTGTCTTGCTTATACGGCTTTGAGGACATACATAAGCATAAAGCACTGAAAATGTTAGACCACTGCAATCCGTCTTGATCTGCCACAGTGTTGACCAGTTGGACCGATACCAAACCCTATTAACAATGTATTTAGAATATCATAGAGTAAGTCGAACACCTCTCCCCAAACCCCCCTCCAAGCAATATGTTTCCAATATCGACATTGGTCGGTATAACCCTGCCATCTATTTACATTTCTTTGTTATCCATCCACTCATGTAAAAAAATTTACTTACAAATTAGCGTCGAAAGCTGGTTCACAACAAGTAAATTGTGTCCCTTCCTCACAGCATCGTTGTTTAAGTGGGTCATCACACGTGTAAATATTTCCTTCACGGTGACCGATGACCTCGTTCTTTAGACATGTCTTACTTTCTGGAAAATAAAAGAGAAAAAGAATGGTAAATGCATCAAGCCCTTAATAACTGAAAAAGAGAGCTTCCTCATTGTTAAATTTTTGTGAATTTCTTTTGTGTATATTGACGTTCTAACGTGTGTCTACTGACGTTCTATAACTGGTACTGACGACGCTATGTTCACTGACGAACCTACATGACGCACCAACGGAGAACGTACTATAACGTGTTTGCTGACAAATTGGAGAGCATACTGATGTGTTTTCTCACGTTCTAACGTTCATAACGTACTAAAATGATTGCTGTGGCGCTTGATGTTTTTCTTGACTAGATTTAGGCCGACTGTGTTGTGTTAATTGGCGCGTCTGACGTGTTAACAGAGGTCTGACTAAATACGTCTGACCAAGATACATTGCGTATTTACTAAGATCTTACTCAGATGTCCACCCTGTGAATCTAGTTAACGAAGAATCAAAATTCAAGAATTCGTGTCACATAAAATGTCAAACTGGAAAAACGGAAACATTATTAGGACTATAATAATCCGAACATATCGATTTTTCATCGAAACAAGCCAGTAAAAATTGATTCGTGGTAAGCGACAATGGGTTTAAAATGATTTAGATGAGTCGAAACAATAGTAAGAAGATCCGACAAGAATCTTCAAGCATTCAACAAGATTTGATGTCATTGTTTGAAAGAAAGTCGAACCATTTTTCATCTGTCTCTAAGGCTTAAGATCTATTTTTTGAATATAAAAATAATGAATTTTCAATGATAAAGGGAAAGTATAAGAAAGGTATTGTTATTTTCTTATGATCAATTCAGATTAAAGAAAACTCGACCTAAACAAAGGAATCAAAACATGTTTGTTTTAGAATGTTAAGGGTAGGCTATATAATTACGATATAGCCTGAAGCTGAATATTACAATAATATGAAAAAAATTTGCTTTCATTTTTGGCCTACACACATTTTGAAAGCAACTTTTTGAATTCATGACGTCACTGAATAGCCTTATATGTTCATCTATAAGGTTTTTTACAAACCATAACAAAAAGAATTTCAAATAACACAATTCGAGCTTGCCAAATATAAATTCTAAAAATGTCTGTCTTTGTCATATTTTTATACGGTGGCTGTAGCTTTGGCATATTTTGGTACGATATTATTAGCTCTGACACAGTTTGGTACGTTATTTGTAGATCTGATACATTTTGATACGGTACTTGTAGCTCTGATACATTTTGATACGATACTTGTAGCTCTGATACATTTCGATACGATATTTGTAGCTCTGATACATTTTGATACGATACTTGTAGCTCTGATATATTTTGGTACGCTATTTGTAGCTCTGATACATTTTGATACGGTACTTGTAGCTCTGATACATTTTGATACGATACTTGTAGCTCTGATATATTTTGGTACGCTATGTGTAGCTCTGATACATTTTAATACGATACTTGTAGCTCTGATATATTTTGGTACGCTATGTGTAGCTCTGATACATTTTGATACGATACTTGTAGCTCTGATACATTTTGATACGATACTTGTAGCTCTGATATATTTTGGTACGCTATTTGTAGCTCTGATACATTTTGATGCGGTACTTGTAGCTCTGATACATTTTGATACGATACTTGTAGCTCTGATATATTTTGGTACGCTATTTGTAGCTTTGATACATTTTGGTACGATACTTGTGCTTTGATACATTTTGATACGATACTTGTGTTTTTGATACATTTTGATACGATACTTGTGTTTTTGATACATTTTGATATGATACTTGTAGCTCTGATACATTTTGATACGATACTTGTAGCTCTGGTATATTTTGGTAAGCTATTTGTAGCTCTGATACATTTTGATACGATACTTGTAGCTCTGATACATTTTGGTACGCTATTTGTAGCTCTGATACATTTTGATACGGTACTTGTAGCTCTGATACATTTTGATACGCTATCTGTAGCTCTGATACATTTTGATATGGTACTTGTAGCTTTGATACATTTTTTTAGGATAATTGTAGCTCTGATAGTGATACATTTTGATAGGGTATTCGTAGCTCTGTCTTATTTTTGTGCGACACGACATATTCTGATTACGGTACTTATTCCGAAGTGTAGCATCACATTATTTGAATACAATTAAATAGAAAACTTTTGTATTTCAAAAGGGAAAATATATTTTTTGAAAACATTACTGGCAGAAAATGACGCTTTTAAGGATGTTTGATTCATTTTGACCCTTTCGGTTATACACTAGACATTTAAATCATGTGCTTTGTTTATCTTATGTATTGGCTTTAAGTATATTTTCCACGTCAAATACTTAAAAATAATCATCTACACTTACCCGCTATTACCAGAATTAAACTCCAAATAAAAATCACTGCCTTCCATTCCATTATGGAACCGTGAATGCTGAAAGTTATTCCAGGAACCATTTGTTTCCTTCCAGCGGTGATTCCAATGACTGTTGTCAATCGAACACAAAACTTTACTGAAAAATCAATAGATAGAATAGGGAAAGTTTTTAATCACGCCCTTAGTCTTAAAATGTTACGATGTGAATTGAGTTTTGATATTTCTTAAAAGAACAAATTTGACAAAACCTTACCTATATAGAGTTTAATAGATATATAGTGATCGTCACGACTAGAATACAAGGCCTTACATAGATTGCAATCACTTTATGTTTTAAACACCACGACACGAAAAATTTACTAGAGATAACAGATGACAAGATTCCATTGGTGTGGAAAATATAAGCTTAACATTAATGATTTGTTATATTTTTCGCTACTGATAACGACCAATTGAATATTGTCGAAACGTCGCATTTCATAAAAAAAAGTGATTGTATTCCATGAAGACTTATATCCTGTATTGTCATCTCTAGTAAATTTTTGAATATTACAAAGTACCCGTGATGCCTCATTTTTATTTTATTTTGAATCCACTGGAAACGAACGTTAACTTGTCATCTACCAACAACTCCCTAGTCTGTGATATCCGTTAGCTTGAAGCAGACGTTAAATTGTAATCTACCAACAACTACCTAGTCTGTGATATCCGTTAGCTTGAAGCAGACGTTAAATTGTCATCTACCAACAACTACCTAGTCTGTGATATCAGTCAGCTGGAAACGAACGTTAACTTGTCATCTACCAACAACTACCTGTGATATCAGTTAGCTTGAAGCAGACGTTAAATTGTCATCTACCAACAACTACCTAGTTGATGGCATATCAGCATCTGTTAGAAGCGAACGTTAACTTGTCATGTACCAAAAACTACCTAGTCTGCGATATCAGCATCTGCTAGAAGCGGGCGTTAAATTGTCATCTACCAACAACTACCTAGTCTGTGATATTAGTTATCTGGAGGTGAACATTAACTTGTCATCTACCAACCAACCAACCGTATAAGCCCAGTTCTTCACATGAAATCAGACTGTCCCCGATAAAGAGTACATGTAAGTCAATCAAGATGAAATTGCGTGTTCTGTATCAATACATTACAAAGACCGCTATTTCTAGAGATTCTAAAGGTCTCGAGGACTAATTCCAGATGTAAAAGTACATTTCAATCAAAACTTGTTTTAGTTCTGTTGCGTCATTGTTTAGTTTGCTCTAGTTTTTATTTTATGCACTAATAAGATCTTACGTCGGTTTTCAAGTGAAATACCTGCAATTAATTACATTCTGAACTGTTATTTCAGTTGGAAATTCCCTAACTAGAATAATGTTCCTTGACTAAGTGCGGCCTGATTTTGAGTCAACTTGTGGTACTGATTCCCAGGAGAGCACTAGCGAACACCTCATCTTTATCATGTTGAAAGAATTATCTATCAACTATTGTCAGAGGTTACCTTGTACCGAAATAATGATACTTGCTTATTATTTAGAAATTTGAAAACGGTTGTAGCACAATCGATGAGAGCATTAGAACTTGACGTCATTTACATGGTGGTAATCTCGGCGTTGGTGTGAAATGATTGACTTTGTCACCTTTCCTCATTATTTCAGTCGAACCAGATGTAAATGGGTACAGATAATCTTTGAAGATCAATGCCAAGAGGGAGACAACAACAGAGATACAGGATCTTTGTAAACCTTAGGTATTATCCATGAATTTTTTTTCTATCTTTGTTTATTTCTTTCTTTCGCTCTTTTATTATTTCCTTCTTTAAAAGGGCGACTTTACATAACAATATACCTGCCTGATTTTGTTGTCTTTGGTTACCTTGGTTACGTCTCGAATACTCTGAGAAAAATACCAGGCAATGCCGCGTGCTGCCTTTGTTGTGTATTCGGATAAAGGTTTCTTTATACCATCATTTTCAAAGTGAAGTTTTACTCGAATTACTAAGGAAATTTGTTTTAAGTTCTTTATGTGGGTCAAGAGGGGTGAATAAATGATACATCACAGATCGTATATCGTTGAATATTTTCGCCATGTGGTAGCCATGTTGTCTTTTGTGAATTATTACAAAGGAATGAACACTAAATTTCTACAAATTTTGTTCAACACTCGAAACGTCTGTAAGTTGCTTATAAAATAATATAAAAATAATTTTAGTATAAGTCAGCTTATTTTTTTGATTTATCTATAAACTAGACAGAAAATGCTTTGTTACACAAAGTTTGTATTCTATGGAAAAAAATCCAATGAAAAACATGATTTTATCCTGAAATACTGGATATTTTTATATGATTTCCGTATAAGCCAGTTCCCCGAGTAATACTTACTACAATACGACTACAAACACTACGTCATTGAGCTAAAACCAGTCAAATAAATGATATTAAAGTTTGTCTTGATAATTCAGGCTACAGACAACAATCTTCCTTAAATGTCCTCGTTTAATCGAGTTGCCTCCCTTCGGTAGAAATATTGGGTAATGTATCA